GTCTCTTTCTGTCTATCTGTCTTTCGCTGTGCCTGTCTATCTCTGTCCACCCCCACTTCCTTCCCTCGACATAAAACACCAAGCCAAAAATAGACAAAAATGGACAAAGGAGATTTTTAGCAGAAGTAAATGTAATAATACTCGCAGGAAGTCGACGTCCAGCCGCGTAGTGGGACGAAATGCTTCCCTGCCTCCCCCCAGCCCCTCTCCCATGCTCCGGCATGCTCCGGCTTGCCCCCCCAGGATAGTACATGCTCCGGCTCGCTCCCCCTGGATAGTACATGCTCCGGCTCGCCCAGCACCATCAGACAGACCGTTACCATGACAACCGTTCCCCGTGTTTACCCCTCGTGACGTCACACACCGGTGTTGTGACGTCACACACCGGTGCTGTCATCCCGAACTCTCCTTCTCTTTCACAACCTTAAATATAAGATTAAGAAACTAATTCGAGCATATGAATGACAGGACTAACCCCACTAACAAAACCATTAAGAAGTCTATACAAACCATAAGAGAAGAATCGAAAAAAGAAACGATATAGGACTAGCTGTAATTACAACACTACCATCAAAGGTACACATAAACTTGGTAATATCGGCAGCATATGTGACGCAGGCATAAATTAGAACGTACTTTAAAATCCAATTAAGGATGCAATCTACCTTAATTAGAGGCAATCTAATTTTCAAGGCAATCTACCATGATAGGCCAAGATAGAACGGTACTGGAGTATGCAGCACCGGCCGGGAATCCGTACCTTATGAAACATAAAACCAAAAATTAAAAAGGTGTACGGGATCCAGTAAGTTCAGTAGAACTTCGGTTTCAACCCTTTTACCCTGTCGTAGCTCAGTCGATTAAGGCAGTGTCTGGGATGCTCCCGGACGCAGGTTCGAATCCTCGTCACGGCCCTTGTGGATTTGTTCAAAAGGTGTAGAGGTTTACAGCAAGATTAACCCAGAACTAAGAGGGTTAAGTTACGAGGATAAGCCAAAGGAACTAAATCTCAATCACAGTCCTAGAGTAGAGAAGAAACAGAAGAGATATGATCACAACATACAAGATACTGAGGGGAATAGGCAAGGTGTAAAAGGACATCATTATTAAATGAGAGCAAATAGGATGAGACGATATAAGTAGAAACTGGAAACTTAAATGAGGCGAAGAACTATAAGGAAATACGTGTATCAATACACAGGTGGTCAACAATTATTATGCACTGAAAGAGGTAGTCGTGGAAGCCACCTCCACCCACAACGTTAAGACACCATAAAGAATTCGAACCTTAAGAAAGTTCAAAGAGCAAGAGGTACAATAAGGCTAAGAGGGACATACACAGTTGAACCTCACTTCTCAGTAGCCACTGATATGAAGCCCAGCCTCCTCCTGCCTCAAGCTCAGAGTGCTGCGTCTGAGTGCATCAACTGAGAGTGTTGACAACTGAGTACATCCTCTGAGAGTGCTGACAACTTTCGACCAATGTGACCATGGTGTTATTACACACAAAATGCGCACAAAAGGAATTACTGGTAGAGTACGAAGATGGATCTACAATATGGCGTGTGTGTGTACTCACCTAGTTGTGTTTGCGGGGGTTGAGTTCTGGCTCTTTGGTCCCGCCTCTCAACCGTCAATCAACAGGTGTACAGATTCCTGAGCCTATCGGGCTCTGTCATATCTACATTTGAAACTGTGTATGGAGTCAGCCTCCACCACATCACCCCCTAATGCATTCCATTTGTGTGTGTGTGTGTGTGTGTGTGTGTGTGTGTGTGTGTGTGTGTGAGTGTGTGTGTGTGTGTGTGAGAGTGAGCGTGCAGGTGTGAGAGGAGGCCACCTGGCCCTGGCCGCCCACTCAGCATGCGCCGCCACACCCCACATGTATCACTTTACACCAACAAGTGTACACGCCGATAACAAGGACCCGCCCAGCTTCCTTAATTATCCTCCCTCCCTCCCTCCACTATGCTGCAGGTCACACTCCCTCCCTCCACTATGCTGCAGGTCACACTCCCTCCCTCCACTATGCTGCAGGTCACACTCCCTCCCTCCACTATGCTGCAGGTCACACTCCCTCCCTCCACTATGCTGCAGGTCACACTCCCTCCCTCCACTATGCTGCAGGTCACACTCCCTCCCTCCACTATGCTGCAGGTCACGCTCCCTCCCTACACTATGCTGCAGGTCACACTCCCTCCCTCCATTACTTCTCGTGCACACTACTTTCTCTGTCACAAGGCTACTTTCCTCACGGCTACTTTCTCCGCTACTACACTACTTTCCCGGCGACTGTTTTTCACTGTCAATACTTCATCAACAACTACTTTATCCTCACCACCACCTTCACCACCACCACCACCACCACCACCACCACCACCACCACCACTCCCCCCCCCCTCACCACTACTACCTGTCCACAGGCGCTAAAACGTGTTTTTACCTCTAAAATGGTTGTGTTTTGGTCCTTTAAAAGATTGTAGTGGTCGCCAGTGGTGTGTTATACTGCAGCAGTTCTCGCCCGGGGCTCTCACAGCCGTGTTGGTCCCTCCGTTATGCTCACGTCTTCACTCTAGTCTCAGGAATGTCCCAGTTGTCATATCTAAGAATTTTAATTTAGCTGTTGAAACGTCAAGTTCAGGGTTATGCATGCTTGGATTTTTTTGAGTTGCAGAATGTTGGTGTTGCAGTTGATAAGTCAATCATCGTGTCTTCACTCACCGTCGTGTGTGAGAGCTACTGTGCTGACCACTGACAATACGGTGTGTGATACCGTGCTGGCTTTTGGATACTTGTCTCGGACTGTGATACATACGTCAGGCTGCGTATATAACACAGGGAGGTACACACCCCAGCACCACAGTAACACAGGAAGGAACACACACAAACATAACGGAACACAATACCACAACACAGCGGTCATTAATCTCGCGCGGCATTACAAAGCTATCATAAAGGAGTTTTATGGATCCTAACACGGGAAATAAAGCCCATTGCCTCAAGTTGAGACTACACCGCTCTCTGGGTGTGAGGGGAAACACTGACCAGTCATGGAACACCCATCATGGAACTGTCTAACAGCCTGGTAGATCAGTCCAGCAACCAGGAGGCCTGGTCGACGACCGGGCCGCGGGGACGCTGAGCCCCGGAAGCACCTCAAGGTAAGGTAACCCTCTGTAACACCTGCACTCTCATCAGTGACGCCCTCTTGGATACCTGTGTGTGTATATGTATGTGTATAAAGTATATATGGAATCTGATCAGAATTACATTTCACCTTTGTAAATGCACATTAATGACACTGTAAAAGACACAAACACTTTATGTAGGGCATACGTAAATCTGTGTATCTATGTATTTACGTATGTAGGTTAGCTTAGCATTTTAAAAGCACCGAATCACCTTCTGTGGTTGAGTGTTCAATAAACCCTTGAACTATATGTTTAACACATCTCTAACCCTGTCCATGGAGGACAGAAGAAAATGTATATATGCTGGTTAGCATTGTAAATGTGTGGCCACGTCTGTGGTAGAAAAAAACACGACCAACCACTACCCGACCAACACCCGACCAACCACCACCTGACCAACCACCACCCGACCAACCACAGACACAGTACAAGACAATATATTCCATAAACAAATCTATCCCCCTTAAATAATTACATAATTTGGTACCGTGCATTTAATTATTCCAAACAAATAGCTTTCGTTAATAATCCATTTTGTGTTTTAATATCACTTTATAATTAGTATCCCGCCTCAACTTCTGACGTAAATAACATTATACGAAGATTGATTAATTATACAGCGGTCGGGCCTCCAAGGGTACTGCTGCAGCTGCGTCACTCTCAGACCCACAGGCAGGCAGCTGCACCACTCTGGAGTATACATGAATATACCATACACCACTATTCACCAACAATATCACACACTTCCTGCACTGCACCAACACCAACACACCAACACCACCACACCAACACCACCACCACCACACCAACACTGCACCAACACCACACCAACACCACCACTCCAACACTGCACCAGCACCACCACCACACCAACACCACCACCACACCAACACTGCACCACCATCACACCAACACCACCACCACCACACCAACACTGCACCAACACCACCACCACCACACCAACACTGCACCACCATCACACCAACACCACCAACACCACACCAACACTGCACCAACACCACCTCCACCACACCAACACTGCAACAGCACCACCACCACACCAACACTGCACCAACACCACCTCCACCACACCAACACTGCACCAGCACCACCACCACACCAACACTGCACCAACACCACCACCACACCAACACTGCACCAGTACCACCACCATACCAACACTGCACCACCACCACCACCACACCAGCACCACCACACCACCACCTCCACCACCACACCACCACCTCCACCACCACTACACCACCTCACCAACACCACACCACCACCACACCAACACCACCACACCAACATCGCCTCCACCAACATCGCCTCCACCAACACCACCACCACACCAACACCACACCACCACCACACCAACACCACCACACCACCACCACCACACCAACACCACCACACCAACATCGCCTCCACCAACACCACCACCACACCAACACCACCTCCACCACCACCACCAACACCACCACACCCAACTTGAGCCGGGTACGTATCTTGACTGCATACTAAGTCATTCCTGAACCAATAACCTGAAATAAGCTAGGTATGTGGGCAGCGTTCACGCCGCCTGATTCCTGGCCCACACTGACATCCACCAACTTGTAAAGTACTCCTCAAGTTGCACTCAAGTGCACTCATCCACTTCAAGTTGTCAATGACTTGAGACAGATAGAGCTGTCCGTCTGCCGGTGTTATATTAGGGCTCTAGGTGGCCTGGCTGACGTGGGGTTCAGTAGAGCTGTGCCTGGTCAGAAGGTTCACCCTGGCAGGTTCAGTAGAGCTGTACCTGGTCAGATGGTTCACCCTGGCAGGTTCAGTAGAGCTGTACCTGGTCAGATGGTTCACCCTGACAGGTTCAGTAGAGCTGTACCTGGTCAGATGGTTCACCCTGGCAGGTTCAGTAGAGCTGTACCTGGTCAGATGGTTCACCCTGGCAGGTTCAGTAGAGCTGTACCTGGTCAGATGGTTCACCCTGGCAGGTTCAGTAGAGCTGTACCTGGTCAGATGGTTCACCCTGGCAGGTTCAGTAGAGCTGTACCTGGTCAGATGGTTCACCCTGACAGGTTCAGTAGAGCTGTACCTGGTCAGATGGTTCACCCTGGCAGGTTCAGTAGAGCTGTACCTGGTCAGATGGTTCACCCTGGCAGGTTCAGTAGAGCTGTGCCTGGTCAGATGGTTCACCCTGGCAGGTTCAGTAGAGCTGTACCTGGTCAGAAGGTTCACCCTGGCAGGTTCAGTAGAGCTGTACCTGGTCAGATGGTTCACCCTGGCAGGTTCAGTAGAGCTGTACCTGGTCAGAAGGTTCACCCTGGCAGGTTCAGTAGAGCTGTACCTGGTCAGATGGTTCACCCTGACAGGTTCAGTAGAGCTGTACCTGGTCAGAAAGTTCAGTAGAGCTGTACCTGGTCAGAAAGTTCAGTAGAGCTGTACCTGGTCAGAAAGTTCAGTAGAGCTGTACCTGGTCAGAAAGTTCAGTAGAGCTGTACCTAGTAAACTTGTGTTCAATAGCCAGGGACAGTCTGCCCCATGAACTGTGCACCCGGCCCAGTTAACTTTAGCTCTATATTCACCAAAAACTACCAGTCAAAAACAAGTACAATCTGGTGTTATCCCTGACACAAAACAGCGGAGATCGCGCCACTCCACAAAGGAGGTAGTAAAGCCGAAGCCAAAAATTACAGGTCGACAGCACTAACACCACACTATAAAAAAGCAACTTTGAATGAACGCTAAAAAGTAAGATCACAGAACATATAGCCACATCGTCTACACTAGCCTGGGGCCAGATTTACGAAAGCACTTACGCAAGCTCTTACGAACGTGTACATCTTTCCTCAATCTTTGGCGGCTTTGGTTACATTTATTAAACAGTTTACAAGCGTGAAAACTTGCCAATCAGCTGTTGTTATTGTTATAAACAGCCTCCTGGTGCTTCGGAGCTCATTAACTGTTTAATAATTGTAAACAAAGCCGCCAAAGATTGAGAAAAGATGCACAGGTTCGTAAGTGCTTGCGTAAGTGCTTTCGTGAATCTGGCCCCTGGACATGGGGTTCAGATCAGGACGCTCCTGCCTCGGCTGGAAGGGTAGAGCGACGGTCTCGCGTCATGCAGGTCGGCGTTCAATCCCCGACCGTCTAAACACCACTGAAGGATACAAAGAGCTGGTGGAAGCTTCCGACTAGTGTGACCACGGTGTCTGTGCACACAAACTGCCTGGCCATCCTCTTAAAATGAAAGTATTTACAGTAGATGGTGGAAAGTACCAGTATTTTAAATTTTAAATGTTGCCCCGAGGGGCGAGTTTATTGGGCAGCGCCACTCATCCTGTGAGTGGACACACCGCCATAGTGACAGTATTGGGCAGCGCCACTCATCCTGTGAGTGGACACACCGCCATAGTGACAGTATTGGGCAGCGTCACCCATCCTGTGAGTGGACACACCGCCATTGTGACAGTATTGGGCAGCGCCACTCATCCTGTGAGTGAACACCCCGCCATAGTGACAGTATTGGGCAGCGCCACCCATCCTGTGAGTGGACACACCGCCATAGTGACAGTATTGGGCAGCGCCACTCATCCTGTGAGTGGACACACCGCCATAGTGACAGTATTGGGCAGCGCCACTCATCCTGTGAGTGGACACACCGCCATTGTGACAGTATTGGGCAGCGCCACTCATCCTGTGAGTGGACACACCGCCATAGTGACAGTATTGGGCAGCGCCACTCATCCTGTGAGTGGACACACCGCCATAGTGACAGTATTGGGCAGCGTCACCCATCCTGTGAGTGGACACACCGCCATAGTGACAGTATTGGGCAGCGCCACTCATCCTGTGAGTGGACACACCGCCATAGTGACAGTATTGGGCAGCGCCACTCATCCTGTGAGTGGACACACCGCCATAGTGACAGTATTGGGCAGCGCCACTCATCCTGTGAGTGGACACACCGCCATAGTGACAGTATTGGGCAGCGTCACTCATCCTGTGAGTGGACACACCGCCATAGTGACAGTATTGGGCAGCGTCACTCATCCTGTGAGTGGACACACCGCCATAGTGACAGTATTGGGCAGCGTCACTCATCCTGTGAGTGGACACACCGCCATAGTGACAGTATTGGGCAGCGTCACTCATCTTGTGAGTGGACACACCGCCATAGTGACAGTATTGGGCAGCGCCACTCATCCTGTGAGTGGACACACCGCCATAGTGACAGTATTGGGCAGCGTCACTCATCCTGTGAGTGGACACACCGCCATAGTGACAGTATTGGGCAGCGTCACTCATCCTGTGAGTGGACACACCGCCATAGTGACAGTATTGGGCAGCGCCACTCATCCTGTGAGTGAACACACCGCCATAGTGACAGTATTGGGCAGCGCCACTCATCCTGTGAGTGGACACACCGCCATAGTGACAGTATTGGGCAGCGCCACTCATCCTGTGAGTGGACACACCGCCATAGTGACAGTATTGGGCAGCGCCACTCATCCTGTGAGTGGACACACCGCCATAGCAGCATGTACAACACTCCCCAATAGGAAGAAACCCCGTATGTAGCGATAGACCATCAAAAAGTTGACGTTTTGCATGATTGAATTTGGCCAAATGAGCAACTTTTTTTTGTTTTAGCCGCAATGTAAATATAGAATCTAACCTAATCAAAGTTCTCTTAGCAATCGTTGGCCAAGTATACGCCATCTTGGGCTATCTTTGTTATTCTAGGCCTAAGAATATTTAAGTTTGGTTTAAACTTTAATTTTTCCGGACTCTATCAAATTAAGAGTACAAAGAAGTAAACATTTTGGAGGTCCATCACAACATATTGGTACTTTCGCCCAAATAGTTACAATTAGTACTATCATTTCAGAAGGATGGGTTGGAAATTGCACACGAAAGGAATTACTGGGAAAGTAGGAAGATGGGTCTGTAATTTCCTAACAGAACCATAGGAGTAATAATCAAGAGGATCAAACCCGGACCATCCACGGTGAAAAGCTCAGTCCTTCAGGACACTGTGCTTGCTCAGGTGTTCTCTCGTGTGATACATGCACAAGGACACACACACTATACACTATAATATCATTCTTTTGCAGGTGACACTAGGATTTTTATCAGAGGAAGAACTCACCCAAATTTTCTTCAAGAGAAATAATGAGGTAAATGTCTCCATCACCGATCAATCTACACCACTAACTGCCAGCCAAAACAGTCTAATTGGTCACGGGGATAAACCTGGATAGCAGGTGAGAAAGACATAATAATTTGAGTGTAGTCAGTAGCAGCAGGAAGTCTGCTGCTACTGACTACACCTGGATCCTGACTTAGCCTGGATCAAGCAGGAAGTCTGCTGCTACTGACTGTAGGTTCTGCTACTTACCACAAGAGCAGCGAGTGTAAGTGTAGCCTGAGGAGGGTGCAGGAGTAACAAGGAGCCAGTCACACTGCCCTCCCCCCCCCCCAACATTACTTGCTGCTGTGAACAGTTTTATGACCCAGGCTAATTACCCGGTGACATCTATGAACACTAACGACCTACCCCCAGTAAAGGCGCCGGCCAGGCCACCATACTCGCCACATTAATCATCGCCGAGTCCGCCACCATATTCGCCTACATGTACAGACACACTGACAGACAGACAGAAAAAACTCCCTTCGTGTACAGAGAGACAGACAGACAGCCTGGGTGAATGAATGATAGACCGCCCCCTCCCCCACACACACACACGGTTGGAACAATTTAAGGGAGAAACTGTGGATGCCAAACCCACCAGCAGTTTCAAGGCGTTGTGTGACAAAGATTGTCATTGTGTGACAAAGATTGTCATTGTGTGACAAAGATTGTCATTGTGTGACAAAGATTGTCATTGTGTGACAAAGATTGTCATTGTGTGACAAAGATTGTCATTGTGTGACAAAGATTGTCATTGTGTGACAAAGAGTGTCATTGTGTGACAAAGATTGTCATTGTGTGACAAAGATTGTCATTGGTCAGAGTAATGACCTCTGCACTTTATCACAAACAAGTAGTTTATTATGAAATGTGATCACGTAATAGAAGATGGTCAAGGGCAGGTCACCATACGACGAGAACGGGCCAGGGAGACACGCCAGTGAGTGACAGTGGAACACTCCAGCAATAAACACAATGGACACTGAACCCATACATAGATTCAATATTAGGTATCAGAGAGCTCAACCACAGCAGCCGATGGAAAGATAGGAGTCCATGAGCTGGAGTTCAACTCGAGGCAAGCATAAGTATGCAAGTACACATACACAGATACGTTCACCTTACCACTTTTACTGATACAGAATTCGCGACCCTCAGCTCCTGCTTACCTGCGGAAAGAGAAAACTGAATTAAACAGATTTCCAACAACTTGAGCGTGTTATAAATAGGAGCTGCATCGTATGGGCCAATAGGCCTTCTGCAGTTACCTTTATTCTTATGTTCTTATGGCGGGGGACCACCCATTGACACCCCAGCAGTGAGAGACCCCTTGACCCCTCCCCATCACCGTAAACGCCAACACGGGACATACAATGAAAACACAGTAATGATGGCCGTTGTGGTGCGGTGCGCCATGCGCCCAGTACCGAGGGTGTTAAGGCGACCAGTCCCCCCCTGACCTGGGCTGGTCGGTACTCTGGCTGGTGGCCATATCATCACGGCTGCCCTCGACACTCCCGCCAAAACATCGTCTCACCACGCGACGCCCAGCGACCTTACCATCATCCTTACCTGCTTGATGTGGTTCTGGGGGTTCTATTCCCCAAGCCCGGCCCGAGGCCAGGCTTGACTTGTGAGAGCTTGGTCCAACTTACAAGAGCGAGCTTAATAGCCTGCCTTTTATTACCATATTATAACATAACGGTGCACTAATTGTGTGGAGCAGACAGTAGTGAAGGGAAAGGTGGCACGGTTAGGACCGTCTTGCAGTCTTTGCATTTGCTACTCTGTAAAAATGCAACTGTTTTGTTTACCCAAAACTATCATACTAAATAAGCCATCTACCGAGGCCGATGTATTGAAAACTTCAATATTATGTTGCGTTATTTTGTACAAACACGTCGCATTTTTAACGGATTGGTAACTTCCGCCAAAAAGGCGAGGCATTAGGTGAGAGGCCGGGTTGATGGGTGTTCCTAACACGGTGCACGGACCGGATACAATTTACAAGCTGTACCTGGACTGTACCTGGAGTGGGTTCTGGAAGTTATACTCCCCAAGCCCGGTCTGGACCAGGCTTGACTGGGGTAACTTGACCTAACAGGCTGTTGCTTGCAGTGGAACACAGGCTCTCACATCCACAACAACCCGGTTGGTCTGCCGCTTCTTGCAGGAAACACATTTTTCTTGACGTCCACTTTTGTTCCTGCATTAT